TACTTTTTTCATGACCTAAGGCGTGGATTTTTTAAAAATATTTTTTTCATGACCTAAGGCGTGGATTTTTTAAAAATATTTTTTTCATGGCCTAGAAAAAGGCGTGGATTTTTTAAAAATATTTTTTTCACGGCCTAGAATAAGGCGTGGATTTTTTTAAAATATTTTTTTCGTGGCCTAGAAAAAGGCGTGGATTTTTTAAAAATATTTTTTTCGTGGCCTAGAAAAAGGCGTGGATTTTTTAAAAATATTTTTTTCACGGCCTAGAATAAGGCGTGGATTTTTTTAAAATATTTTTTTCGTGGCCTAGAAAAAGGCGTGGATTTTTTAAAAATATTTTTTTCGTGGCCTAGAAAAAGGCGTGGATTTTTTTAAAATATTTTTTTCAAGGCCTAGAATAAGGCGTGGATTTTTTCAAAATATTTTTTTCAAGGCCTAGAATAAGGCGTGGATTTTTTAAAAATATTTTTTTCACGACCTAGACTAAGGCGTGGATTTTTTAAAAATATTTTTTTCACGACCTAGAATAAAGCGTGGATTTTTTAAAAATATTTTTTCACGGCCTAGAATAAAGCGTGCATTTTTTAAAAATATTTTTTTCACGGCCTAGAATTAGGCTTGGATTTTTTTTTAAATATTTCTTTTCACGGCCTAGAATAAGGCTTGGATTTTTTTAAATATTTCTTTTCACGGCCTAAAATAAGGCGTGGATTTTTTTAAATATTTTTTTTCACGGCCTAGAATAAGGCTTGGATTTTTTTTTTAAATATTTCTTTTCACGGCCTAAAATAAGGCGTGGATTTTTTTTTAAATATTTTTTTTTCGCGGCCTAGAATAAGGCGTGGATTTTTCTTAAAATATTTTTTTTCACGGCCTAGAATAAGACGTGGATTTTCTAAAAATATTTTTTTCAAGGCCTAGAATTAGGCGTGGATTTTTTCAAAATATTTTTTAACGTTAACCAAAGGGGTCGAATTGTAAAAAATATTTTTTCAAAGATTAATCACAGACGTCGATAAAAAAATATTTCTTCAGTGATTAACCACAGCGTCGATAAAAAAAATTCAAACGACTATAAAAAGGCGTGGATTTAAAAAAAATGATTAGCCAATAGCGTTGATTTAAACAGAAAATATTTTTAAGGTGTTGATTTGAAAAAAAATATTTCTAATCTATTTCTATTTGTATTCAGACTCCCGTTCGAAATACATATTGAGGCTATGGCTGCATCTGTACCAATTTCAATAAAACGCAATGACGTCATTCAAGTCTCAATTTGACACGTTGTGCAACGTTTCGTCTTAATCGGACAAACATTATGTTTGGTTTACCATTTATGTAAAATCGGACGAATCGTATCGGAACTATATCGAAATCTGAACCGATTTTTCCGCAACGTAACATAAAACAATCTAGACGCAATTCAGTACGCTATGCCAAATGTCGTGCAAATCGAAGGATATATAGGGACAATTAACACTCATCGTTCTAGACTCAATTCAGTACGCTATGTCAAATTTCGTCCAAATGTAAGCATATAAAGGAACTTTGTTGCACTTTTTACATAAAATTGGACGAAAATATATATTTAAGAGGTATATCTAAGTCTGAACCGATTTTCATGAATCTTAGCACACATCATTCTAGACTCAATTCAGTACGCTATGTCAAATTTCGTGCAAATCGAAAGATGTATAGGGAGTTTGGTGAACCATTTATATAAAATCGGTCGAAAATATATATGGGAGCTATATCTAAATCTGAACAGATTTTCCAAAAACGGTACACACATAATTCTAGTCTCAATTCAGTACGTTATGCCAAATTTCGTGGAAATCGAAAGATATATAGGAACTTTGGTGCACCATTTACATAAAATCGGACGAAACTATATATGAGAGCTATATCTGAATCTAAACAGATTTTCAAAAAACGGTACACACATAATTCTAGTCTCAATTCAGTACGTTATGCCAAATTTCGTGGAAATCGAAAGATATATAGGGACTTTGGTGCACCATTTACATAAAATCGGACGAAACTATATATGAGAGCTATATCTAAATTTGAACCGATTTTCATAAAATGTAACACACATCGTTCTAGACTTAATTGAGTACACTATGCCGAATTTCGTGCAAATCGAAAGATATATAGGGACTTTGGTGCACCATTTACATAAAATCGGACGAAAATATATATATATATATATATATATATCTAAATCAGGACCGATTTTCCCCAATTTCAATAGGGTTTGTCCTTGGGCCAAATGAGTGAGCTGTGCCAAATTTCATCCAAATTGGATTATAAATGCGACCTGCACTTTGTTTACAATTTAACATGGACAGACAGACAGACGGACGGATATGCATAAATCGACTTAGAAAGTGATTTTGTGCATATTCTCAAAAGGAACCATGTGTCTATCTCGTTTCCTTTTGCCTGTTACAAACATATGCACAATGACATAATACCCTGTACCACAGTGTGGTGAAGGGTATAAACCATATTATTTAGGACATCCTTTCCTTCTTCCTTCCATTTAAAATTTCCTATGATTTTTCCTTGTCCTTTAAGAATATTTTTCCAAAAAATTATAAATTTCAACTTGAAAGAATGAGGGAAAATATACTGCCATTTTTGTAGGCAATTAGCATTAACATTATTATCCTGACGGCAATTATTTAGTTGTCATGTAGATAATGTTTTTTTTTTTGACAAGTTTTCACCAACAGGTGGCATTAACAATATTTACGCATTTTTCTTCGTCAGAAAAAAAGTAGAAAACGTTGTAGAACATTATTAAGAAGTTTGTTATGGCAATTGAGTGTGATGGTTTTTATATTCATAAATTATGGACATTTTTATTGAGTTGGCGTTTTTATACTTTTTTCGATTTTTTGTGCTGTCTAGACTGCAGGTCACAAATCACCTGCTGGCTTTATTTGTTAGAGAATGTTTTTTTTTTGGGGTTTTTATTTGTAAATCATGTGGGTTATGGCCAAAATTTATTGTCCAGACGAAATTTATGCTGAATTTGTGATAACAAATAAATAAAATTCAAATAAAATTCGAAAACAATTCACAGAAAAAAAATACCTTTGATGAAATGGTCACTATAATACCATAACATAAAATATTGAAAGGGATTCCTCTGCAATGGAAAAATGTGAGTTGGCCAAAGAAGGCAATGACAGTCTATTGGATTAGCAAGGAAGCCTTGGAAAATTAATAAAATTAAAAGTATTGTCCTTCGATTAAAAAAAAAAATAAAATAACGACTATCGTCATAGGCGGATTTTCTTAAAATAGTTTTTTGACGGACGTGTTTGTAACAGGTTCGGGTTCTGAGTCGATTTATGCATGTCCGACCATCCGCCTGTCCATGTTAAATTGTAAACAAAGTACAGGTCACATTTATGACCCGAATTGGATGAAATTTGGCATAGCTCATTTGTTTGGCCCAAGGATGAACCCTATTGAAATTGGAAAAAATCGGTTCAGATTTATATATAGCTCCCATATATATTTTCATCTGATTTCAGGTAAAAAGGGCACAAAAGTCCCTATATATCTTTCGATTCGGACGAAATTTGGCACAGCGTACTAAATTAAGTCTAGAATGATGTGTGCAAAGTTTCGTGAAAATCGATTCAGATTTAGGTATAGCTCCCATATATAGCTTCGACCGATTTTAGGTAAATAGTCCACTAAAGTCCCTGGAAATCTTTTGATTTGCATGAAATTTGGAACAGAGTAATGAATAAGATCGAGAATGATGTCTGTCAAGTTTCATGAAAATCCGTTCAGATTTAGATATAGCTGCCATATATAGCTTCGCTCGATTTTAGGTAAATAGTCCACTAAAGTCCCTGGAAATCTTTTGATTTGCACAAAATTTGGCACAGCGTAATGAATAAGATGGAGAATGATGTCTGTAAAGTTTCATGAAAATCGGTTCAGATGTAGATATAGCTCCCATATATTCTTTCGCCCGATTTTAGGTAATTGGTGCACCGAAACCTTGGAAATCTTTTCATTTGCACGAATTTTGGCATAGCGTACTGAATTAACGCTAGAATGACGTGTGCTAAGTTTTTGTGAAAATCCGTTCAGATTTACATATAGCTTCCATATATATTTTCGTCGGATTTTATGTAACCAAAGTCCCTATATATCTTTCGATTTGCACGAATTTTGGAATAGAGTACTGAATTAAGTCCAGAATGATGTTGCTAAGCTTCGTGAAAAGATTTGGTGTAATATAAATTAGTCTCTGGCAAGTTTCCCTGAATTGTTCCAGATATAGATATATAACAAAAACGCGTCGTCTGTTAGGATACATATGTAGAATATACCCAAAGTGGTGAAGGGTATCATATTGTCGGCCCAGTCCGACGTTACTACTTTCCTTACTGTTTTTTTTTATTACGAAATAGGTTTTATGACCTTAAATTTAATTTGTATTGAATCGGGTACCATTGGTCGTATAATTAATATTAATTTTTCTTCTCCAATCGAGGGTGCGTATACTTGACATGTACTGTATAATAATTTTCATACGCATTTTAATAATTTTCGCTTATTTTACACCAGGAAAATTTCTAAAAATAAATACAAAACAAAATTTACGCGGAAAGTGTTTGCAAAAGAAAAAAATCCAAAGAAGAAAAGTTAAGACCAACCGTCAAAATATTTTCACTTTAGATAATGTCATAAACACACACCACATTGGCGGCTGGGGACACTCGCCAGGGGGTGGGGGTGGTGGTACTGTTGTTGCCATTTATTTTCCACTTGGTGTCACATTCACTGACACATTAAATACTTTCGAATTATTCTATATGAGAGCCGAGAAAAAAAAGAAAAGTGTGCACGGCTACATGCGTCTGTGTGTGAAGGCTATATCCTTGTCATGTACATACATGTGGGTGTGTGTGTGAGTGTGCATGTGACACCAACCGGCATTTACGTTAAATGTTGCCGTTTGAAACATATTAACAATGTTCGTGATGTTGTTGTTGTTGCTGTTGTTTACTAAAGCTTAACTCTTTGTTAATGTGCACAGGCGGTTGTGGAGGTTGGTAGGGTGGGTAGGCCGGGTAGGCTAATGTTTTGTTTATATTTTATTATTATGATTATTTTAAACATAGACTTATGTTACCGACACACATGACATGTACAGTTTGTTTGTTTGCTACTTGTTTTCACTTTTTTCGTCGTTGCTGTTGTTTTTGTTGTGTTAAAAAGTCTTTTTGTCTGCAAATAATTGTTTCAGAGTATTTGTGTGTGTGTGTGTGTGTGAATGAGTCACTGAAATTTATTTTTTTTAGTATATAAAAATCATAAACAGCCTTGACATTGTCATTGCAGCTAATGTCCTTTGTCTTTGTGCAGCAATGTGTATGATATATATGAACGTGTGAATGAAATAAATGCGAAATGTGGATATGATTAAAAAGGTATTTTAATTTTCCTAGAGGTGGTGAAATATAAATTGTCTATGGGCGGGGTAAATGTCATTGAAAGAGACTTGACCAACAGAGTTATGGAGAGAGACGGGTATAAGGAAGCAATTGTACAAAATTCGCACATATAGATATTTTAAAAATATTTTGTAAAGACTATTCTCAGGATTAAATATGTATAAAGATTGAAGTGAAATTTTTAATAATATTTTCTGAAGGTATACCTATATTTAAAGACCTATCCAGAGGCGTGGATTTTTAAGAATTATGATTAAAGGCCTACTCACAGGCGTGGATTTTTAAAAAGTATTTTTGAAGAAGTATTTGGGTGGCGTAGGGGATGATAGATACCAAGCAACGACTCTGATTGGTTTTAACATAACAGTATATCTATGGTGGAGGGTATCCAAAGTTCGGCCGAACTTAAAGCTTTTTCACTTGTTTAAAGATTAATTTTTGATGCCTTCAACAAGGCATAGATTTTTCAAAAAAATATTTGTTGGTGCCTTCAAAATCTAAATCATCTAAAAAGCTACACTCCAATTAAAGTTAAATATCGTATCATCGTATGGGTGGCGTAGGGGATGATAGATACCAAGCAACGGCTCTAATTGGCTTTAACATGGCAAAGTCCAGGCTTATCTTGGTCCCTCTTTCATCTCAATTGTGGACACTGGCCCCCCTGTGGTGCCACCTGGGGAGCTATTTTTATCACCCGATGAAATAGTGAGCTAATATGTCCCGCGAATTCACTCATAAGAACTATAAAAAATGGGTTGCGGCGTCGGGTTAGTTTCCCACTCTCGGAAAACCCAACCTACTATGAAAAAGCACAGAAAAAGAAAGCCAAACCCCCCTAATGTTGACGACCCCCGCAAACGTATAAAGGGCCACGATCGAAGCTAATCTGCATTTGGGATGTGCGCACGTTGTACAGAACAGGCGCAGTGTTCGCTTTGGCGGATGTACTCAAGAAGTACAAAGCCGATATTATTGCCTTACAGGAAATGCGATAGAAAGGGGCTGGCGTAAGTAAATCAGATGATTACGCCCTGTATTATAGCTGCCATGGAACAAAACGTGAATTTGGCTGCGGATTTATGGTTAACAGGAAAATAAAAAACCTCGTCTCCAAATTCATTCTAGTAGATGAGCAAATTGCTATAATTGCAAAGTGTTTCTACATCAGTCACATTTGCGCCCATGCTCGGGCAGAAGATAAAGATGAACAGACCAAAGACATATTTTACGAGCGCCTAGAAACAGTATATGAAACATGACATTAAAATTCTGCTAGGAGATTTTAATGCAAAAATCGGAAGGGAAAATATCTTTGGCCCCACCGTCGGAAAATTCAGCCTTCATGAAGAAACATCCGACAACGGCATGAGGTTGATTGACTTCGCTGCAGCAAAAAACATGGTAGTTAGAAGCACCAGATTAAAGCATCTCTATATACACAAGGCCACCTGGATCTCTCCTGATCAAGCAATGAGAAATCAAATTGATCATGGGGTAATAGACGGAAGGCATTTATCCAGTGTTTTAGACGTCCGATCGATCCGAGGAGCGAATATCGATTTGGACCATTACATTGTGGCAGCCAAGGTACGAACCCGTTTTAATGTAGCAGCAAAGGTGCGATCTAACACAACACGGAAACTTGTCGTCGAAAAGCTGCAAACATAAACGGTTGCCGAGGTCTACGCCGCTCAACTTACCCACCTGCTTGAAGAAAGCACTTCTTGTCCCGATAATAGTATAGATGCACAATGGCAAAGAATTGCCCACGCCCTACAAACTGTAGCAAATACAACACTTGGGTACCAAAAATCACCACCAAAAAACCCATGCCAAAGTGGGTCTGGCAATAAACGGCGAGAATACCAAGATCATGGTATCAACGCGCAAGACGTCCAGTAGACTCGGATCAACTGTGGAACTTGAGAGCTACAGCTTCGAGGTAGTTAAAGATTTTATATACCTTGGTACCGCCATAAATAAAACGAATGACATCAGTTTTGAAATTCGGAGAACGATTGTGATGGCCAACGGATGCTACTATGGTCTAAGTAAGCAGTTTAGAAACAAGGCCACCTCCCTCCAGACCAAACTGACACTTTACAAGACGCTGATACTACCCGTGCTATTATATGGATCAGAAGCATGGGTACTTGCGCAAGCAGATGAGGCAGCTCTTGGGGTGTTTGGAAGAAAAATTCTCCGAAAGATCTACGGGCCGATCTGCGCACACAGTGAATATCGGCGTCGAATGAACCACGAGCTTTACAATTTATACGCGGACATCGACATAGTCAGTCGTATTGAGCTGCAGCGACTACGGTGGCTAGGCCATGTTGTGCGAATGAATGAGAATGTCCCAGCTCAGAAGGTATATAAAAGCGAGCCTACTAATGGTTCTCGTAGAAGGGGAAGGCCGTGAATTAGATAGAAAGACCAAGTAGGAAAGAACATCTTGGAACGTGGTCTTCCAAATTGGTGGATTTGCGCACAACACCGACGCGCTTGGAAATCTTTTTTAAGCTCGGCTTATGGAACAACCGTTCTGTAATCAAGCCAGCTAAGAAAGTAACTATTTTTGAAGACCCTACCACAAAATATTGATAATGAGTGCTTACATTTTAGGGTAACAAATAAACCAACAACTTTATTTTCAGTTTCAGTTTTTTTCTATCCGCTATTGGGACTCGAATATCATGAAATTTTACATGAGGAAGCAGATTTCGCCAAAGAATAAGCATGGTACCTTTCATGATTTGGATTTGGAATTATTTCCCAGATTTGGAATAAAGATCCATAGGATATTTTATGTCAGTGTTAGTTGTGTAGGGTATCATATGGTCCGCCCCATCCGACTGAGTTGCGTATAAAAATATATTAAAATGACATCAAGTATACGCAATTTCGTACTTTTGAATTAATAAAAATTATACGCACCGTAGTTCAAAATACCAAGTATTGGATAAAATGGACCATTGACTTCGGAATTCTTAATCTAACACGATGTTTTTACGTTCTCTAAAGAAAAACAGTTCGAAGCTCAAACTTTCCAGTGTTTAAAAATTAAAAAATTCCTCGCTCAGTGGTAAATTTTATTCTTACATTTTGTTAAAAATAGTAACACATTCTTTTTTTTCAAGGTCCCATTTTTTCTTGTTTTTGTTTTTTTTTTTAATGAATGAAATCCTTATGAAAATTTCCCCAATCTTTATCACAGAGTTAGTATTAACATCTTCACAAGAAAACACAACGTTGTAATAAAGAAAAAAATCCTTACGACAATTAGCTTCATCCGATTTATCGCGACAATCCGGACTACCATCGCACCACCAACTCTGGGGAACACATTGTTCGCCATTGCTGCAGGTGACTTCATATGGTTTGCAGAAGACCACTAATTTGGGAGCAAAATATTAAAAAATAATAATTACAAATAAAATAAATAAATAAAATAAAAATATAAACAAATCACAAAAATAAAAAATTTCGAACACATAACATAGACCAAGGTTGTATGTGTTGGTGTAAATAAAAAAAATATGTAAGAAAATTCGATTCCCAAAACTTGATTACTTACTGCACAATGATGAAAATTCATCGGAGCCATCGGCACAATCCTTTTCATTGTCACAGCGCCATCTGTTGGGTATGCATTTGCCATTGCCGCAACGGAATTGTTCAATGCCACAAGTGGAGCCTGTAAAGAAGAGAGAGGGAGAGAGAAAAGAGAGGGAATGAGTTTGTGTGCGTTGTATAATAGAGGAAATATAAAATTAATAATAAAATTCCTTAAAAAAATAAAAAAAATTGTTACAACTTAATTATGCAAAATGGAGCAGCAAACAACAAACAAACGCTCGAACAGAGGGTCTGTGTGGAATATTTGTGTCTAGTTGTTTGTCTATATGTCTGTCCGCCTGTCTTTCTCTTTTTGGATTTAGTTAGTTTGTTTGCCATTAAAAATTGTTGTCTATGGCCCAGACCTTATGTTTATGTGCGGGTATGTTTTTCAAATTTTATTTTTTTATATTATTTTAAGTATCGTTTTTGGCAGTAGCTTGGCAATTTTGTTTTATAGTTAATTAACTTTAAGAGGCCACATAATGACCCTACCGGCAACACGCCACAAAAATTGTTTTAATAACAGAAACAGAGGGGGTGGTGGATTTATTTCAAGTTTGCAGAGAGAAAAAAATTATGAGAAAGAGAGGGATGGATTTTAGAGACGGTATTTAAGAGGGCTGATGGATTTACTTATATTTTTTACAACGACAAAAAACTGGAAGAGAGGGAGGGAAGGGCGGATATTTAAATCTGCAATTTCTATGTTATAAAATATTCTCCATCCCCTCTCTTCACCCTGGTTTTTAATTTTATTATTTTTTTTAATATGTTTTCCCATCGTAATTTTTATGACTCCATTTTTGTTTTATTTTTCGCTCCTTGTGGTCTACAGTTTTACTTAATTTCATTTCAAGTCTCATAAAATTTATGGCCTGTCATCTCGATGTACGGCAGATAAAACTTAAAATGTAAAATAATATTAAAAAATGTGAATTAGCCGAGGATATAGCGGCTAAAATCATCAACTCAAAAAAATGTTGAAATGCGAGATATTATCCGCAATGCATAAATGTAAGAAGGAAAAATTGCCCGGAGGATTATAACTAACGAAAATAAATGATTTGGATTATAAAACTGGAAAGACGAAATATGTCATCGGTATC